ACCAATCAGGAGGGAGAGAAATAACCAATCAGGTGTAAGCTCCATGCAAATGAAGTACTACAAATGGACCAATCAGAAGTTAGGGAAATGTACCAATCAGGAACGAAGGAAATAACCAATCAGGAGTGAGCTCAGGGAACAAATAGAATTTTAGGGGTAAGTTCCACTTTCCTAGAAGTAAGCTGTTTCAGAGGCAAAAAGTGAGATAGAGCCACTGGGCCAGGGAACTGGATGGTGCTGGCAGGAGAGTAGTGGTCGTGCCTGGGGGCCTGGGGGGGGTCCTGCCGGTCTTTTTTATGGGGCTTCCCACCTCAATATAACCTCTGTATCCACAATTCATCCATAGTTGAATCCACAGATTCAACCAGCCACGCATCATGTAGGACTATAGTGGTTATTTATTGAAAAAAATTCGCATGTTAGTGGACCCATGCAGTTCAAAGCCATGTTGTTCATAGGTCAACTATATATACCACATCTTCTTTATCCATTCCTCTATTGATGGACATTTAGGTTGCTTCCATATCTTGGCTATTTAAAAAAACTGCTTCTATGAACACTGGGAGCATGTGTCTTTTTGAGTTAGTGCCTTCATTTTTGTTGGAAACATACCGAGGAGTGGAATTTATGGATCATTTGTTAGTTCTGTATCTAGTTTTTTGAGAAACCTCCATATTATTTTCCATTGTGGCTGCATCAATTTACATTTCCACCAAAAGTGTACAAAAGTTCCATTTTCTCTACATCCTTGCCAGTATATGTTGTTTGTAGACTTTTTGATGATAGCCATTCTGACAGATGTGAGGTTTTGTTTTACTGTGATTTTCATTTGCATTTCTCTGGTGATTAAGGATATTGAGCATCTTTCCCTGTGCCTGTTGGCCATTTGTATGTCTTCTTCGTAAAAAGGTCTATTCAGGTCTTCTGCCCATTTTTTGATTGAGTTGTATGTTTTTTCGATATTGAGTTTATGAGATGCTTATATATTTTGAGTATTGACCCCTTATTGGTCATATCATTTGCAAATATTTCTCCCATTCAGTAGATTGCCTTGGTTTTGTTGATGGTTTAGTTGATGGTTTCCTTTGCTGTGTAAAAGATTTTACGTTTAATTAGATCCTATTGTTTTTGCTTTTGTTTTCTTGCCAGATCCAAAAAGTTATTGCTGCAATTTAATGTCAAAGAGTGTTTTGCCTGTTTGTTTGTTTGTTTTTTTGAAGTGTTTTATGATTTTTGGTCTTACATTTAGGTCTTTAATCCATTTTGAGTTTATTTTTGAGGTTTATATGATGTGAGAAAATGTTCTAATTTCATTGTTTTACATGTAGCTGTTCAGTTTTCCCAGCACCACTTATTGAAGAGACTGTCTTTTCTCCATTGTATGTTTTTGCCCCCTTTGTCATAGATTAGTTGACCTTAGGTGTGTGGGTTTATTTATAGTCTCTGTATTCTGTTTCATTGATCTCTGTGTCTGCTTTTGTGCCAGTATGTGTCTGTTTTGATTACTGTAGCTTTGTAATATAGTCTGAAGTCAGGGAGCATGTTACCTCCAGCTTTGTTATTTTTCTCTTAAGATTGCTGTAGCAAATCAGGGTCTTTCATGGTTCCATATAAATTTTAGGATCATTTGTTCTAGTTCTGTGAAAACTGTCATGGGTACTTTACTAAAGATTGCATTAAGTGGAATATTTTCTGACAATTTGCTTTCAACTAAATTTACTGCATAGATTTCCACTGAAAGTTTAAAATGTTGCAACTTTTCTGGAAGGGAACTGGGAGTTCATGACAAAGGACTGCAAACTTTGCCTACGAGCTAGATCAGCAATTCCATTTCCAAGGATTTATTTTGAGGAGTAATTAAGAATTTGTATACAACTTTTAATCACAGGATTTTAAAGCAGTTTGTTTGCCATAGCCAAGAGCTGATGTGTGTGCATGTGTGTGTGAATTTACTGTTTAAGTATTAACGGTAATATTTGTTTGGAAATTCTACTTGACTTCTGGCCAGATTTGAGAAATGTTCTTGTCACTGTGTTTTCTGTTACATGGAAAAACCCAGATGATCTCTCAGTGTCTGCATCAGTAGGAGACGGTTGTTATTCTGTAATGACCACCTTCAAATCTCAGTGGCTTAAACTAGCAAGACTGTCTCCATCTTGTACCTCGTGCCCTTTCGTTCATGCCTCTTTCTCATCAGTCGAGGACCCAGGCTGAAGGAGGGATCTGTTTCTGTGGGAGGGAAAGAAAATGGGCTGAAGTGTGCACTGCTCTTAAAATTTCTCCCAGGGAGTGACCAGTGTCACCTCTGCTCATATTTCATTGGTCAGAGCCAGCCGTGTGGACAGTTGTAACTTTCATGAGATAATATTTTTGCAGGTAAAGAATTGGGGCTTAATGAGAGCTTATAATTTCCCCCAAAAAGTGAAGTCCTACCTCGTCCTCTTCGGTAGAGGAACCAGAATATTTGTGAACAGCCCGCAAGATGGTCACAGAGTAAACCACAAGTCTACTTCAAGCATGGGGTTAAAGGATGTAACTTCATACCGTAAGGGAGGAAAACTCTCTTTCAAATAGAAAACTGGGGCTATAAGAGCCCGGAGGGTCCTTTGTGGTTCCATCTAACTGTTTGACTTTCAGCTGCAGGGATTGAAAGATGTCAGACCAATTCTTCAAGAAGGCATGTCATGAGCTAGCTTTGATTTTAAAAGAAATGCAGTTTGAGACAAGATTGATGAGGTTGTAGGAGGGGTGATGGATATTGGGGCCCAAAGATAGACCATTCAAAAGATGTGCAAGGAAATCCCCCACCTGTTGGTGTTTTGAAGGATTCTCTGGACTCCTTACTATTGGCCTGGAAGGTGTGTATAAATTGGAGGAGGTCCAGGAGCTAGAATTTGGCAGAGGATTTGCATATCATCAACCTCTCAGCATCACACTGCCATCCCTCCCT